CCGCCACCACCAGGTCTCCCCACCTCCAGGCACACTCAAGGCCGCCTACCACGTCGAGGGCCCCCCAGGACTGCTGAGGAGCCCCCCCATGCCCTGGGTCCCCCTCGGCTGACATGCGGCTATGGGCCTGAGCTGCCTGCGGGAGGCAGCTGTTGGTGGAGCAGGAGTTGGGCCGAGCAGCAGTGGCGAGGAAAAAAGCGGCCGGCTATCCGCAGCCGCGCGCTGAATCTGTCGGCCTGCGCGCGTGCGCAGGCTTTTATGCGGATGGATTGGGCGGGAAAGAGCTGCGAGCCGCGCGCACGCCACTCGGCCCTCCCTGGCAGCCAGTCCGCGAGAGGGTGGCGCACGTCACTCTCCACCAGCCCCGCCCACACCAACTCCGTGGGCGCTCCGGGTGGCGCTAGTTTGCATGTGCGCAGAAGCAGAACATAGCCCCGACCCAAGCTCCGGCCGGCCCCCACAATCCCAAGCAATTTTCCACATGCTCGCCTACAGAGGAGCGCTGGTGCAGCCCAGCTGTGTGCAGAATAGGGTCCTCACCATGGCAATGATCTGGAAATCTGGGCATTGACACTGAAAAGGCTTCCACGTGACCGTGAGCAGCTCCATCAGCAGGGTCCTGGGGTGAACGGTCCCGTGCCTCTCCTCCCTGACACCCTTTGCCCTGTCTTCTCTCCCTGCCCCACTAGCCCTCTGTGCTTCACTCCGTCTCCTGTCTTTCTGCCCACATCCTTCCACCTGGATCAAGGAAGAGATTAAGAGGAAATCACACAACATATGGAGAGAAACGGTAACAGAAACACACAGTTGAAAATACGCGGACACTGCAAAAGCAGTTCTGAGAGGAAAGTGCATAGTGATACAGGCTTACCTCAAGAAACACAGAGTCAGAAAAAAAAAGCTCTCTAACCCTACATCTAAAGAACTAGAAAATGTGCACAAATAAAGCCCCAGGTTACTGGAAGATCAGAGCAGAAGTAAATAAAACAGGAAGTAAGAAAATAGAAGGAAAAAATTATGAAGGCAACAACTGTTTGTTCAAGAAGATAAATAGAGTAGACAAGGCTGTGTAGCCAGACTTATTGGGGATAAAAAAAGAGAGGACACAAATAAATAAAATCAGAAGTGAGAAAGAGAAATTACAAGCAGTATCACAGAAATTCAAAGCATTCTAAGAGAGGTAATGAAAAACTATATGCCAATAAACCGAACAAGGTTGAAGTGGGTAAATTCTTAGAAACGTCAAGTCTTCCAAGACTGAGCCAGAAGGAAAAAGAAAATCTCAAAAGACACCAATTACTAGTAACAAAGAGAATTGCTAGATGAAAAGCTTCCAATAAACAAAAGTGCAGGCGCAGAGGGCTTTAGGAGTGAATTTCACCAAACATTCACAGAAGAGCTACTGCTCATCCTTCTTAAAGTATTCCATGATGTAGAAAATGAGGTAGTACTTGTGCACTTTCCATGGGTCCAGCCTCACTGTAACACCAAAGCCATAGAAAAACAGCACAGAATATCCCTGGTTAATAAATATATAGAGAGAGAAATCCTTGAGAAAATATTAGCAAACCAAATTCAAAAATACATCACAGGGATCACTCTTCACAAGCAGGTTGGATCCATTCCTGGAATTTGAGGATAGCACCATATTCATTAACCAAACAATGTGACTCGACCCCAAATTTCAACAATGAGCAGCTTAGGAAATCTGTTCCAGGCCAGTACTTGTCTACCTTTACACAACTCAGCTGTTTGTATTTCAAATGCAAAATCTGATTCATCAGATCTGCAGTGGGTCCAAGACCGCATGTCTAACAATTTCCCAGGAGATTTTGATTTTGTAGCAGGTCTTGGTCTGTGGCTCACAGTAGCAAGACTCCTGTGATAGAGTTGGGGGTAGGCAGATTAAGGTTTTCTCTACCAGGAATCTGGAACGAGAGTAATTTTAAAAATTTTCATATCATTAATGAACAATTACTTGGGCAACAGTAAGGTTACTAGACTCCCCCTATTATCAAAGTCACGACCACATACCTCATTAAGAATGTTCAGCTCATGGTGTCCTCTGCTGTCCAGAAAATTTTTAGCTTTTCAGCATGATGTCCCATTGTTGATTTTTGCTTTTGCTTCTCTTTCCTTGAGGAAATGGGTTCAAGAAAAAGTTCGTCATGTTTATATTCAAGAGATTTTGGCCTATGTTTTCTTCCAAGGATTTTACGGTTTCATGACTTATGAAAGGAAAGGAGTGACACACAGCAGCAATTCACCAGAGAAATCCGCTTTATTGGGGAAAGATGCTGGTTTATATAGGAAGGGGCATGGGGTGATTGTGGTGTCACTTATACGGGGCTGGTGGCTATTGGCTAGGTGCTGGGAGTGGGAGTGGGGAGAGAGGTGATTGGTCTTTAGGTGGCGCTGTCGGGAACCTAGGACCCGGAAGAGAAGCCGGAAGTTTGCCATCTTACTGGTGGGGGCCCTTCAACTTACATTCAGGTCTTTAATCCATCTTGAGTTTATTTTTCTGTATGGGGTTAGACAGTAATCCAGTTTCATTGTCTTGCATGTAAATGTTCAGTTTTGCCAACAGCAGTTGTTGAAGAGACTCTCATTTCCCCATTGTGCATCCATGGATCGTTTATCATATATTAATTGACCATATATGCTTGGGTTTATATCTGGGCTCTTCCGTCTGTTGCATTCGTCTATGAGTCTGTTCTTGTGCAGTACCAAATTGTCTTGCTTACTGTAGCTTTGTAGTAGAGCTTGAAGGAAGAGAGCATAACTCCCCCTGCTTCATTCTTGCTTCTCAGGATTGCTTTGGCTATTCGGGGTCTTCTATGGTTCCATATGAACTTTAGAACTATTTGCTCTAGTTCTATGAGGAAGGCTGTTGGTATTTTGATGGGGATTGTATTGAATCTGTAGATTGCTTTAGGCAGGCTCGCCATTTTGACAATATTAATAGTTTCTATTCATTGGCACGGGATGGGTTTCCATTTATTGGTATCTTCTTTAATTCCTCTTGTGAGTGTCTTGTGCTTTTGAGGGTATAGGCATTTTATTTCCTTGGTTAGCTTTATTCCTAGGAATTTTATTCTAATTTTTATGCAGTTGTTTTGCTGATTTCCCTATCTCCTAGTTCACTGTTAGTGTATAGGAATGCAACAAATCTCTGTGTATTAATTTTGTATCTTGCAACTTTTCTGAATTCAGACATTAGATCTAGTAGTTCTGGAGCGGATTCTTTAGGGTTTTTCATGTACCATATCATGTCCTCTGCAAACAGGGACAGTTTAACTTCTTCTTTGTCTATCTGGATACCTTTAATTTCTCGGAGTTGTCTGACTGCCATGGCTAGGACCTCCAGGAGTTTGCTCAATGGAAGTGGGAGAGTGGGCATCCTTGTGTAGTTCCCAATCTTAAAGGAAGAGCTTTCAGCTTCTTGCTGTTGAGTATGATGATGGCTGTGGGTTTGTCATATATGGCCTTTGTTATGTTGAGGTAGTGGCCCTCGATACCCATTTTGTTGAGAGTTTTGATCATGAATGGATGCCAAATTTTGTCAAATGCCTTTCCAGCATCTATGGAGATGATCACATGCTTTTTGTCCTCCTTCGGTGGAATTGGTAGATGATATTGATGTATTTTCAAATGTTGAACCATCCTTCCTTCCCTGGAATAAATTCTACTTGATCATGATGGATGATTTTTTTAATGTGTTTTTCAATTCGGTTTCCTAATATTTTGTTGAGAATTTTTTGCATCTATGTTCTTTGCCTGGTTTTGGTAATAGAGTATTGCCTCCTCTTCATGTTTCTGGAAATAAGGAGGACGGGCATTAGGGTTTCCCTGAATGTTTGATAAAATTCAGCAGTGAAACCACATGTGCCAGAGATTATGTTCTTTGGTAGACTTTTGATAACCAGTTCAACGTTGTGACTGCTAATTGGTCTGTTCAGAATTTGTTTCTTCCTTTTTCAGTGTTGGAAGGTTGTATTTTTCTAGAAAGTTTCCATTTCTTCTAGTGCATCCAGTTGGTTAGTGTACAGATTTTCATGGTATTCTCTAAAAATTCTATGTATTTCTGTGATTTACGCCCATCTCTAGAGGCTTTAACTTTGCTGACCACTTTGTGAGAATAGTGAAAAATTGTACAAGTCTTTAGAGGAGGAATAACATGGAATAACAAAAACCTGAGTTTGAATTCTGGCTCAAAATATGAGTTGTGGGGGTTTTCACAGATCATTTCTCAACCTGGGATTAGGTGTTGCTTTCTGCATAATGGAATACTAGTCCAAGGATCATGTGGGATGCCTGAGAAGAACAATGGGTCATGTGTAAAAGCTCCTACCTCAGAGCCTGGCACATAGTTTTATGTATTAAGAGACTACTACACTAGTAACAGGCAAGCTAATTCCCTCTGATGTTGTTGTCCAGCAGTAACCATGTGCTAGCACTTTGCATTTATTCTCCCTAAACCTTAACACTGGTCACACAGCTGAAGAGAGGCAAAGGTAGTTCAGAAAACAAGCGTGGCTAACTGCAAAGCTAGTTCTTTAACCCCTAGGCTCCACTGCCTTCCCTGGTTAAGCGGATGGAGAGAAGAGGGACAGGTGTCAGAGAGAAAAGGAAAGGAGCAGACACGAGAGGGCACTGGGA